AGGAGTTTGTGACCAGCCTGACCAACATGGTGAAACCCCGTCTCTACTAAAAAATACAAAAATTGGCTAGATGTAGTGGCACATGCCTGTAATCCCAGCTACCCAGGAGCCTGGGGCAGGAGAATCGCTTGAATCTGGGAGGCAGGGGTCACGGTGAGCTGAGACTGCCCACTCCAGCCTGGGCAACAGAGAGAGTCTCCATCTCAAAAATAAAAATAAAATAAAATAAAAAACAAGTACATCACATGTGCTTGAAAAATTCACATTTCAAACATAATTGTGTTTATATCCCAAGTCCTGAACAACTCCCCATCCTCCTCTTCCCCAAGCCCCTGGCAGTAACCTTCTACTCTCTGTCTCTATTAATTTGACTGCTCTAGGTACCTCATATAAGTATAATTATATAGTATTAGTCTTTTTAAGCCTAGTTTATTTTACTTATGTCCTTCAAATTCATCTATATTGTAGCACATGTCAATTTTTTTTCTTTTTAAGGCTGAATAGTATTCCATTGTATGGACATACCACATTCTGTTATCCATTAATCCATTGGTGGACACTTGGGCTGCTTCCACCTCTTAACTTTTGTGAATAATCCTGAGCTAAGACAGGTACCATTTGATCAAAGATCCACAAGAAGTAGGGAGACAGTCATGTGGATTTTTGGAGAAAGTATACAAAAAAGTACATAAAATAAAATCCGAATTTTGTAAAAATAGTTTGTGTATTTAGATAGAAAATAAGTTGATCAAATAAAGAGAGAAAAGGCCAGAAATATTTACACAAAAGTATTAAAAGTGGTTATTACTCAGAACTAGATGTCAAAGGAACAGCAAATGCTGAGCCCAGAAGCCAAAGTGTGCTTGGAATGTTCTGGACATTGCAGGTGTTGTCAGAGCATAATGAGGTAGAAGGAAAGTGGTGAAAGGGGAGGGAGGCAGTTCACGTAGGTCTTAGGAGCTGTGACAGTAATTTCCAATTCACTTGGGGCGAGATGGGGATCCCCTGGAGGATTCTGAGCAGAGGGTAGCAACTGGGCTTAGCTGTAGACAAATCACTTGGGCTGCAGTGTGAAGCAGTGGAGCCTGTTAGCAGGTTCCAGCAATTAGGGTGAGGAATGACAGTGGCTTAGGGCAGAGTGGGCGTGGCAGAGGAGGTGAGAGAGATCAGATTCTAGATGCGCATTTCAGAGTAAGCTGGATGCAGGAGTAGAAGAGAGAAGTCAAAGATGACTCTGAAGTGTGAGGTATAACAAAAATTGAGAAGTCAGCATGCAGTGGAAGGAAAAAGGAGAGAGCTGTCATAAAATATAATTCCACTTATATGAGGTACCTAGAGTAGTCAAATTAATAGAGACACTGCGCTGCCTCTCCACTCTGATGCAAGGGTAGTGCACAGCTTAGTCAGACCATGCTGGCCCGGAGCCAACAGTTAGGTCTGCTTCAAGCCCTTCTCCCTGGCTTGAAGATATTTCGCAGGAATTGCAACCCAGGGTTGGTTGTTATTCTGCAGAGGCTCTCAGACCCTCCTTCCACAGCCAGCCAAGTTTATACATCCTTTCTGGACATTCTCCAAGTCCTACAGTACTCATCCTCTTGTTGCTTGGCTACAAAATGGATTTATTTTCTGACATGAACACATATCTGTGTGTTCATGTGCCTGGAAAAAGAGAGCTTGCTTGGTTTATAAATGACAAAAAATAAGGTTGGAAGCCAGCTTGGCCCCCAGGCCTCTGATCACTCAGCCCAAGCACAGACTTTTCTTCTCTGCACCCTGCAGTTCAGAGGAGTCCCTCATATCAGGCTGCCCTAGACAGAGCAGCAATTTCCACCACTTTTGTACCCACAGCTATATGAATGGGAGGGAAGAGGAGCCATCTGTGGACAGGAGATAGAAGCAGTATCCACTCGGCCTGCTCTTACATGCAGTAGGAGCTTGAGATTGAGGAGAGAAGTAAATGATATTTCTCCTGTGTCCCAAGAGTGAAAACCCGTTTCGGAGAATCTGCAAAGCCATCGTGTGGGAAGGCAGCCGGTGTGAAGGAGTACTTCAGCAGAATTGCTCTGCTTTTTGAATTCTGAGATTCTGGTGGTATCTCCTAAGGGAAAATCCCTTTAAGGAGATATTTGGATTAAAAGCACTTTGACAAGCCCTGATTAAGTCCCGGCCACTCATGTCCAGCAGCTGTGAATTTTTTTTTTTTTTGTATTTTTTTTACAAGACAAGAGTTTGCCTTTCTGTGTTAGGGAGAAAAATTGATTACCTTTTAACCTCTCTGATATTGTTTCTTGTCATATTTATGAAAACAGTGAGAAAGGCCAGGTGTGATGGCTCACGCTTGGAATCCCAACACTGGGAGGCTGAGGTGAGCAGATCGCTTTAGCTCAGGAGTTTGAGACCAGCCTGTCCAAAATGGCAAAACCCCATGTTTCTATTTTTCTATTTTAAACTCCATTTTTTACTACCAAAAATATAAACAATTAGCTAGGTGTGGTGGTGCGCACCTGTAGTCCCAGCCACTGGGGAGGCTGAGGTGAGAGGATTGCTTGAGCCTGGGAGGCAGAGGTTGCAGTGAGCCAAGATCACGCCACTGCACTCCAGACCCTGTCTCAAAAAAAGAAAGAAAACCGGTGGGAATTGCTGACCTATGTTGAAGCCTATTTTATTGCCTAATGGTTCCCAAATGGGAAATGTTGCCTCCCAGGGGACATTTGGCAATGTGTGAAGTCATTTTTGGGTTTTACAAGTGTCCATGCGTGTGGGACTGGGGTGTGCTACTGGCATCTAGTGGGTAGAGACTGGGGATGCTGGTAAACACCCTGCAACACACAGGACCGCTCCCACAGCAGAGAATTACGCAGCCCAAATGTGAATGAAGTCAAGCTTGTAAAACTCTGGCTAGAAGGCCTTTCTGGAGTGGACAAGAGTTTCTTAAATCTAAGAACAATCATTTCTAAGGCTACCCCTTCACATAAAATTAGACAAGGGGCTGTATATTCGTGTTTTTCTTTTCTTCTTTTTTTTTTTCTCAGTTAATAAACTGACTAAAAATCTAGCACTTACTGTAGCTTTTGCTCCAAAATATATTTATTCTAGAACAAGTGCACTCATTAATTTAAAAAGTTTTAATGAAAATTACAATGCCCATTTGATTGATGTGTTATAAGTTTTAGAGATATTTCTACATAATAGTCCAATTAAAAATATATACCTTACCTTAAAAAATTTTTATAATGACTTATATATGTTGTATAAAAGTTTAAAAATGTTTCTAAAGATAATTTTTTGGCCAGGCACAGTGACTCGCGCCTATAATCCCAACACTTTGGGAGGCCAAGGTGGGAGGTTCACTTGAGCCCAGGAGTTTGAGGCAAGCCTGGCCAACATGGCGAAACCTCATCTCTACTAAAAATATCAAAAAAATTAGCCAGGCATGGTGGCAAGCACCTGTAGTCCCAGCTACTTGGGAGGCTGAGGCATGAGAAGTGCTTGAACCTGGAAGGCAGAGGTTGCAGTGCGTTGAGATAGCACCACTGTACTACAGCCTGGGGCAAGACTCTGTCTCCAAAAAAAAGAGAGAGAGAGATTTTTTTTTTAATGGTGATTCTACCACTTAGAAGGAAACATTTCAGAATATCAATATGTATTTCTCAGTTAATTTTTTAAATAGTTGAGATCATTCTATTTATACAAATTCATCTCTGCAAAATGAGTCTTTGTAAATATTCAGTTTCTTGCAGGGCTCAGTAGCTCGTGCCTGTAATCCTAGCACTTTGGGAGGCGAAGGTGAGAGGATCACTTGAGTCCAGGAGCTTGAGACCAGCTTGGGCAACATAGTGAGACCCTGTCTCTACAAAAAATTATATAAATTAGCTGAGTGTGGTGATGCACATGTGTGGTCCCAGCCACTCAGGAGGCTGAAGTGGAAGGATCACCTGAGTCCGGACGGTTGAGGCTGTAGTGAGTCATGATCATACCACTGCATTCAGCCTGGGAGACAGAGGGAGACCTTGTCTCAAAAATAAAATAATAAAAAAAACAGGTGCTTAGTACTCTATCATCTAGTACTGAACCCTATATTACCTAAAAGCCTATGTTGAACACGCATCATTAATTGCACTTGTTCACTATTATAAGTAATCTATAATGAACATTCACATATTTCATGTTGCTTTTTAAATAGCACAGCAATCTGTATTGTTCTGGAGACTTTGGGACATGATTATTTAATGCCTAGTTCATGACAGAAACAGAATAGAAAGTCTCCTGCCAGTGCAGCAGAGGAAACACCATTTGGAATAGCCAATTGAAGGGAGAGTTGTGGAACACCTGGGGATGGGGATTTAAACTTGGGTAGACCAACCAAAACATGTATCTGTACATATCCAGATGTATGTATGGAAATGCCAAACAAAAAAAATTGGAGGGATAAACACCAAACTTTTAACCATGGTGACTCTTCGATAGAAAAATGGGATTAGGGGAGGAACCAGAAGAGAAGAGGAACTGTTTTTTCCCCCATTATCTTCTTTATTCTTTGAATTCTTAACTGTGAAAACATATTCGTAAGTAACTTGTGTAATACTTAAGCACAATACACTTGAGAGAAGGATTTGGATCCTCATGGATGGGAGGCCTGATTGATGGCAGCAGCTACTTATCTTTCACTTTTTTAGCCAGCCCTAGAATTGCTGGGCACATCGTGGATAATGGACTGATGAGCATGCCTGGAGATGGTGGTATGTTTTGGTAGAGAAGTTCTAACATGCATTTAGATGAAAGGCCTTAATAATTTGTTCTCTTCACAGTATATTAGACATGACTGTTCTGCATCCATGGTCTGTGACATGGAAGATGGGAGTGGTGGAAACACACAGTGTAGGGCCAGGATCCTGAAGGTTTCATTGCTTTTGGTGCTGGTTTAGAGAAAGTTTCTCTGTGAAGCATGCACAGCCAATCCCTGGGCCAATAGATGGTGAGATTGTTCTTGTTTCCTCCAGGCCGTACACCTGGTCCCTGGCTCCAAGCTGAAGCAGTTGGGCAGAGCTCTGATGACATCAGAGGCAGAAATTCTCAGGTAACACATCCCTCATGTCTCTGAATGTAAAACCAGGAATTCTCCTCAGGGGCACAGAAATGGGAAGGGTATGCTTTCTCCCTAACAGCCTTATAGTCTTCCGCAGACTCCTTTTCCTCAGGGAAAGCCATTTGGTGTACCTTTGTTTCAAGCCAGATTGAAACAGTCATAATTTCAAAATCTCAAGTGTGACAAAAGGGGGCTTCCCTGGAATCACCACTACATATAGAAGCAAGTTTAGCAACTGACATTCTACAACAATCATGCCAATCACTTCCCATTCTTCCTTGGTTATGACAGTCTGTGAGAAAACCCGAATAACATTTATAAAACATAATTCAGACCAGGTGCAGTGACTTAACGCCTGTAATCCCAGCACTTTGGGAGGGTGAAGTGGGCAGATCATGAGATCAAGAGATCAAGACTATCCTGGCCAACATGGTGAAGCCCTGTCTCTACTAAAAATACAAAAATTAGCTGTGCTATGGCCTGAATGTTTGTGTCCCTCAAAATTTATATGCCAAAACCTAATCCCTAATATGACAGTATTAAAGGGTTGGGTCTTTGGGGAGGTGATAAATCATGAGGGCAGAGCCCTCATGAATGAGATTAGTGCCCTTGTAAAATAGGCTTAAGGGAGCTTGTTCACCTCTTTCACTATGTGAAGATGCAGTTTGAAGGTACCATGTTTGAAGCAGACAGTGAGTCCTCACAAGACACTGTATCTGCTGGTGCCTTGATCTTGAGCTTCCCAGCCTCTACAAATTTAAGAAATAAATTTCTGCTGTCCTCATAAATTACTCAGTATAAGGTACTTTGTTAAGAGCAACCTGAAAAGACTAAGACACCATGGTAACTACAAAGAAAATAGCTATAGAATATATACATAATGAAACGAGAAACAAATTTAAACATTTCACTACAAAAAAGTCAATTGAACACAAAAGAAAATAAGGATATGAGGTACAAAAAAGCTGTATGGAAAACAAGTAGCAAAATGACAGAGTAAATCCCTCCTTGTCATTAATTACTTCAAATGTAAATCTATTAAACTTTCCAATCAAAAGACAGAGATTGGCAGAATGGATTTTTAAAAATCCGATCCAACAGTATGCTCTTTACAAGAAACTCAGTTTATCTCTAAAGACAAATAGCTTGAAAGTCAAAGGATGATATCCACAATATATAGAGAACTTGTAAAACTCAACAAGAAGAAAACAAATAACCTAATTTAAAAATGAGCAAAGGACTTGAATAGACATTTCTCCAAAGAAGATATACAAATGGCCAAGGAGCATAGGAAAAGTTGCTCAGATCACTGATCATTAGAGAAATACAAATCAAAATGAGATACCACTTCATACACATCATGAAGGCTGCTATCAAAACAAAACAAAATAGCAAGTGTTGGCAAAGATATGGAGAAAACGGGACCCTCATGCACTGTTGGTGAGAATGTGAAATGGTATGACTCCTGTGGAAAACAGTATGGCAGTTCCGCAAAAAATCAGAAAAAGAATTACTATATGATCTGGCACTTCCACTTCTGGGTATGTACACAAAAGAATCTAAAGCAGAGCCTGGAAGAGATATTTGTACACCCATGTTCATAGCAGCATTATTTACAACAGCTAAAATGTAGAAGCAACTGGATCCTTTTGTAGTTCATGAGCATGATGATTGGGTATTCATGTGCATGTGTGAGATGTGCCACCCTCTGAACCTTGTTATAGCCTCGGCCCGTCTGACCTGAACTTGGAAAAAAAATAAAATAAAATGTAGAAGCAACTCAAGTATCGCAGATGGATGAATGGATAAATAAAATGTGATATATACATGTACAGTGGAATATTATCCAGCTTAAAAAGTAAGAACTTCTCAAATGTGCTTCAACATGGATGAACTTTGAGAAGGTTATTCTAAGTGAAATAAGCCACTCACAAAAAGACAAATACTATATGCCTCCATTTACATAAGCACTTACAGGAGTAGAGACAGAAAGTAGACTGGGGCTTGCCAGAGATTAGAGGGAAAAAGAAATTGAGAGTATTGTTTAGTGGATACAGAGTTTCAGTTTCACAAGATGAAAAGGGTTAAACAAAAATGGGTACTACCATTGGTTGCACAACGTTATGAATGTATTTAGTTCCCCTAAACTGTACACTTAAAAATGGTTACTAGTGTAAATGTTATGCTGTTTATATTTTACCACAATAAAAATGGAGAAAAAGTGTTAATAGGTATTCATTCTAGAAGACTACAGCTGATTTTTACTTTCTTCTTTTTGCATTTATGCAATTTCCAAGTTTTGTACAATGACTATATTATTCCTGTGATCAGGAAAATACAGCTATAATCATAATCATGTTCCTTCATATTCATACAGCTCTTTACATTTTTCAGTTAGGTTGCATACGTTATCTCATCTGATCCTTTTAATAACCCTGTTATGCTGGAGAGATACCTTTCATGCCGTTTCATAGAAGAGAAAACTGCTCTCAAAATATGAAGAACTTATGCAATGTCACAATGCCCAGACCTTCTGACCTCTGGTCCAGTGCTTCTTCCATATGCCTCACGGCTTTTCCTGGCAATTAGAATCTCCAGGGACAAGAATCCTCCTCACTACCCATGTGGCAAGGCTGTGTCAGAGAGTGTGCGGGATCTGGTCCCCAGCCTCATGGCAGGCATGCACCCACATCACCTGAGTCTGGTGGTTTTGATCTCTGCCTGCATCAGTTTCATCAAGTTGGATTGTAAAGTCTCCTTTGGGCATTCCACAGTCAAAAAGATCTTTTTTATGTCTCACTGGATACCATCTTAATTCATTTTCACTGCAGTAAGACATAAAACAATCATCCAGCCGGGCACAGTGGCTCACGCCTGTAATCCCAGCACTTGGGGAGGCTGAGGCGGTGGATCAGGAGGTCAGGAGATCAAGACCATCCTGGCCAACAAAATGAAACCTCGTCTTTACTAAAAACACAAAAAATTAGCCAGGTGTGGTGGCATGCACCTGTAGTCCCAGCTATTCGGGAGGCTGAGGCAGGAGAATCGCTTGAACCCGGGAGGCAGAGGTTGCGGTGAGCTGAGATCGCGCCACTGCACTCCAGCCTGGGCAACAGAGCAAGAGTCTGTCTCAAAAAAAAAAAAAACAGAATCATCCAGGGAAATCACTGGGTCCTGGACATTGTAAACAAAGCCCCAGGGAGTGCTCTCTTTTATGGATACCGTGGTCAGTGCATGGTTGGGAGCCCTAGAGATGGAAGTCTGAATGTCTGGATCTGTTTCTTGCTTTTCCATTGTCTTGAAACTTCGGATCTCCAGCAAATTCTTTGCTTTCTCTGAGCTTCCTGTCAAGTGAATTGCTAATGATTCATTCTATAAATGCTTACAAGACAGCATTAGGTCCCCACATACCATCAACTACATATCCCATTTCATCCCGTTTCCACCCACAGCCCGCTGGGTGAAAATCAGCTCTTTGCTTAAGCATCTCCCCAACCTTGATAGCCTTGCATGAATGAGAAGCTGTGGTGCCCAGCCTATATGATTCGGGGAGTGAGGAAGGAGGGCTTTCGTGTGCAAGTCTTCTAACTCCACCTGTTAATGTTCCTTCGTGTTTCCACAGTTATTTCTAAAGACTCTCCGGTGAGAAGACAGATGAAACCAAGGTCCTGGGGTTCCAGGTTGCAGAACAACATGTCAGACCCTGACCACCCCATGCTCAAGCTGTAATTCAGTTGGTATACAGGCTTGGAATTGAGAATTTATTTATTGTAAATATGAGGTTTGCACGGGCTTTAAAGCAGTGTTTTAATTGACTTTTATTTCAGTAATATTTTTTAAAACACCCCTCATTTTTCCATTTTTTTACACTGCATCTAGGCATTCGTCTGTCAGCACAGATAGAGCCCTGTCCCTCCACGTAGTGCCCACTCCATGACTGCGAATATGCTTGCGGGCTGGCCCTTCCTAGATTCTGAACCCTCTGTAGAGAGTCCTCAGTTTGCAGGTAGCCCCAAAGTTTTAAATATCCACAACGGCTTCTTATTGGCATAATTTTATATTCTCATCACACCAACTGCAAAATCAAACCAAATAATGCCTTATCAATGATGCAACTCAGAGGAAGAAGTGTGTCCCCCACACCCAGACCGTGCCGCACAGCCTCCAGGGAACGAGATGCCACGTCTCGCTTCCGTTTTGCAGTACGGGGATTTGTTTTTCCTTGTGCTGCCTAATGTAAATATATCACAAAGTAAAGGCAGGAGTGGGCTTGGCCCCTCCAATGCTGACCACAGGGCCCCTTTTGTAACCGAATAATCCTCCAAGTAGCCAATGCTCCTACTGTTTACAGTGGCCTTAGGGCCTGAGTCTCTGTCACCTTCCTCCTTTTCTCTCCAAGTTCCCGGTCCCATCCCAGTAGCCAGCTTTATGAGATTTTGGTATTTCTTCCCTACAGATTAAAAACATACACAACTCATCATTACCAATTCTGTCTCAGAGGTCTATCCTTCTGCCCTTGCTTCACATGTGGATTTCCATAGAAAATATAACATGAAAAAGTATAGAACAAATCTTGTGAAACACCTGCTGCAAATACCTGATGCCTCACTGCCCCCCACCCCGCCACCCATCTTAGGATCCTTAGAGTCACCCACCCATCAGGCAAAACCTAGCTCCCTTCTGATTTAAAGGAGAACCTTGCCTGACAACTCCACATTCATTCCCTGCGGTGGGCACCTGTCTGTGAGTGGGGAAGTGTGCAAGCTCAGCCAATCTGAATATGAAAAAGGTCAGGCCAGGATGGGACTGCTCTTCACTCCCTCTTCTTGATCCTGCGGGGAGCGGAAATGTGTTTTCGCTTGCTGCCTGACCCCTGATGCTCCCCATCCTTGGTCGGGGAAGTCTGTGACAGAGGAAGGAGAGAAAATAGAAGGAAACAGACTGATCCCTGGGCTGTGCTCAAAATAGCTGCCCTTTAAAAGAAATCAGGCAGGGAGGGGAGGGAAACCAGCAAAAAAGAAATCTGCTTTGCAACAACCCACGCACACGTTCTGTCCTGAAGGATACTGTGTCCAAACCAAGCCATCCAGAAAGGTAGCCAGGCCGGAGGGTGTGGGCAAACATGACTGCATCTGCCTCGCTGTTGTCTGGAGTAAAGACCCAGGTGGTGTCCTGCCGCAGTGCTGTGCTCTCTCATTCCAGATGGGAGCCAGTGAGCCAGGGTCTAATTCCCTTCTCTGGGGAATGAATCAAGCCAAAACTGTAACAGCTAAATCAATAGAAAAGAAGTTTTTGCAGGTCATTAGCTCTGGGCGTAACTGATTTGTTTTATTGGTTCTGGAAGATTCCCAAAAAGCCAGAATTTCTTTATTATTATAGCAGTGTCCACTCCACCACTCTCACAGTTGTGTAAGATAATTAGAAAATTTGTAATGATCCTGATTAAGAAGACCCCAGACAAAGGCAATTCCACCTTCAGAGTAGACTGCCTGCCCTGATGAGGTGTTTACACGTTCCTGTCGCCTACGGCTGGGATGGAAATTCAAATAACACTATTTAAGGACAGAGGAGGCCCGGAGCAGTGGCTCATGACTGTAATCTCAGCACTTTGGGAGGTCAAGTGGGTGGGTGGATCACTTGAGGTCAGGAGCTCAAGACCAGCCTGGCCAACATGGTGAAACTCTCTACTCAAATACAAAAAATTAGCCAGGCATGGTGGCGCACACCTGTAATCCAACAACTCGGAGGCTGAGGCACAAGAATGGCTTGAACCTGGGAGGCAGAGGTTGCAGTGAGCTGAGATCACGCCACTGCACTGGAACCTGGGCAATGGAGCAAGATCCTGTCTCAAAAAACAAATAAATAAAAATACAGGACAGAGGGGAGGAACAAGCAGAAACCAAAAATGGCAACTAGCGAGAAATCTCAGGAATGTGGCATCCCATCTCTTCTTGAGACCTATCACTGAATTCACAACACTTCAAGTTCATGCTGGTGCAGTTCCTTTGGTGGTGTAAAGGTTTAACCCCTTGACTGTAAACTCGTACTTAGAGACATGTGAGTCACAGAGTCCCCACCATTGTCACATATTCTCACTGACACTGCAGTCCGTGACTCCCCCAATGTTTCACACGTATTTTATTTTTATTGATGTCCTCCTCTGCCGATTCATTTCTCTGTACTTAATAAACTTTGGTAAGTGGAAATGCTTCCCATCACTTCCTTGTTAAAACTCATCAGTGGTCACCAGGACCAATCTAAGCCAAACATTTTTAAGGATCAGGAGAAGTTGAAGTTCTAAGAATGACAGGGAAAAAAGGGATATTTAGATGGATACAGTGCGTACTGTAACATACTGTTTAGAAACAGGGCCTTTCTTGAGCTAATTAGCTTCATTGGTATTTGGAAAAACCAAGCAAGAGAAAAACACTTTTTCAGATGCATTATTTAAAAAATAATAACACTATATTTATTGTTTGATTCACATAGAATGGGAGACGGCGCGGTGGCTCAAGCCTGTAATCCCAGCACTTGGGGAGGCCGAGGTGGGTGGATCACGAGGTCAAGAGATCAAGACCATCCTGGTCAACATGGTGAAACCCCATCTCTACTAAAAATACAAAAAATTAGCTGGGCGTGGTGGCACATGCCTGTAATCCCAGCTACTCAGGAGGCTGAGGCAGGAGAATTGCCTGAACCCAAGAGGTGGAGGTTGCGGTGAGCCAAGATCGCGCCATTGCACTCCAGCCTGGGTAATGAGAGCAAAACTCTGTCTCAAAAAAAAAAAAACAAAACAAAACATAGAATGGGCAGTGTACTGCTTATAAATTCTGCTAAATTTTGTTGAAATTAACAACCTGCACCCTACGTGTACTTAGTCCCCACTCCGGACTCAGCAAACCCCTCAAAAAAGCCTCCTGTAGGAACAGAGTCATCTTGAACTCCCCTGTAGTGTGTTAAGGTGGACCTTTGGGGACAGGGTTCAGGGAGGGGAGGTGAGATTGATCTGCTGGGCAAGCTATCTCAGAACTAGTGCTTAGAAGGCAAACCAGGATCTGAATCTGTTTTGTCTCTTACAAGTTGCCTCTTAGAATCTGTGCCTCAGCTTCCTCATCTGTCAAAGGGGGGCATAAATATGTACCTGAGTATATACTGGTGAAGATTCAATGATGTAATACACACGGCCAAGCCCTCAACCCTTGGATCACAACGGAGCCAGTAACTGCACACCCCCCTCCTGGGGAGCAGCCAGTTTGCTGATTCCATGCTCTGTCACAAACAGGGCTCTGCTGGCTGCCTCCCAGCCACTCCATTCACTATTTGCTGAGCTGCTCAGACCACACTTCACTAACTCTGCTGCTGTATAACAATGTGAGAGCAGTCATTAAAATTCATAGATGTTCCTGAAATAAATCTCATCTAGAAACTAATTTCAAAGCTGGTTACTACACACTTTACATTAGAATTAGATAAAGGGCTGTTTTATCGCTGTCTTATTAGTGGAGGTATCGATTAGCTCTTTCATGGCCAAAAGGGCCAGTCTGGGTGCAGAAGAAAAGGCAAGAGCGGAAGATAATCTACAAAGTGGATGATGAACTTCAAAGTCACATTGAGTGTGGCAGTAGTGAAGTAGCTAGAAGTGTAGACACCTTTTGTGGAGTTAAGTATGGGAGATGTGGCTCCCAGAGAGGAAGTAACTTAATGCGAAGGGCTGTGGACTCCAGAAGCAAGTTCCGAATTCTCAGACAGTGCCCCGGGGAGGCTTTGGCATCCTTCTTCCACCCATTCTGCTATGGGTTGAATTGTGTCCCCACAAAATCCATATGTTGAAGTCCTAACCCCCAGTATCTCAGAATGTGACCTTATTTAGAAATAGGGCCATTGCAGCCAGGCACTCCTGTCTGTAATCCCAGTACTTTGGGAGGCTGAGGCAGGCAGATCATAAGGTCAAGAGATCGAGACCATCTGGCCAACACAGTGAAACCTCATCTCTACTAAAAATACAAAAATTAGCTGGGCATGGTGGCGGGGGCCTGTAGTCCCAGTTACTCGGGAGGCTGAGGCAGGAGAATCACTTGAAACCAGGAGGTGGAAGCTGCAGTGAGCTGAGATCATGCCACTGCACTCCAGCCTGGTGACAGAGTGAGACTTCATCTAAAAAAAAAAAAAAGAAAGAAAAAAGAAATAGCACCGTTGCAGATATCACTTGTTAAGATTAAGATGCGGTCATACTGGATCAGCATGGGCCCCTTGCAGTATGACTGTGTCCTTATAAAATGAGGACATGGGACACAGACATAGACATGGAGAGAACCCCACGTGAAGACGACGGCAGAGATCATCGGGATGCTGCCTCTTTGCCAGCAAGCCACCAGAAGGTAAGCGAGAGACATGCAACACTTTCTCTCTCACAGCCCTAGGGAGGAACCAGCCCTGCGGATGTCTTATTCCTGGGATGTCAGGGCTCCAGAATTGTCAGTTAGGAAATTTCTCTTGGTTATGCTGTCCAGTTTGTGGTACTTTGTGACAGCAGCCCTGGCAAAAGAATACATGCTCTGTCACCCAGAGATTTGCAGGAGGGTATAATGTTTAAGAAAAGAGAGCTGGGAATAAAATTTCAGAATTAGCAGTTCCTTGTCATGTCAACAGAGCAGTCATTTACTCTGACCTTGACATAGGTGACTCATTGCAGGTGTCTAAGTCCTACCTTCACGAGCAAGACATTCGGTTGCGTTTTGCCTGTCACAGTGGACAGAGAGTCACAGAAAGCAAGCTGGCATTTCTGGGTCACAAGAGCGGAGGAACCTGGCTTTTTGTCTAAGTGGCATCCTCCTCTGTTGTGTCGTTGCTAACGCCTTGGAATCAAGATGCCTGGAATAGAGTACCAGCCACTCTGATGAGCTAAACTTCCATTCTAGTAACGTTTCCATTTCTTTTATTAAAAACTGTGGTATCATATACATAAAGTCCATCACCCTAACCATTTTTAGCATTTAATTCATTAGTGTTGAGCACATTCACACTGTTCACAACCATTACTACCATCCCGCTCCATATCTCATCTTGCAAAACTTTCTGAAACTCTATACTCATTAAACAATAACTCCCAATTTCTCCCCCTCCTCCAGCATCTAGCAACTACCCTTCTGATTTCTGTCTCTATGATTTTGGCTGCTTTAGGTACCTCACAGACATGAAACCATGACATTTCTGACTGGTTTATTTCACAGAGCATAACATCCTTAAGGTTCATCCATGTTTTAGCATGCGTCAGAATCTGCTTCCATGTTTTAAGAATGAATAATATTCCATGGTATGAATATAACACACTTTGTTTCTTCATTCTACCATCTGTGGATACTTGAGTTGCTTCTGTGAATAGTGCTGCTATGAATACCGGTGTGGAGCCTCCCTTCCAGACCCTACTTTCAGCTCTTTTGTGTATACCCAGAAGTAGGATTGCCCAATTATAGGGTAGTTCTGTTTTTAACTTTTTGAGCAGCTCCATACTTATTCCCACCAACAGGGCATAAGGGTTCTGCTTTCTCCATACCCTCACCCATATTTGTTATTTTCTGGTTGTGGCTTTATTTATTTATTTATTATAGTAGCTATCCTGATGGGTGTGAGGTGGTACTTCATTGTGGTTTTGTATTTAAAGACTGAATTTATCCACAGAACATTACATAATGCAGGAAACTACTGAACTGACCGTGTTCTAAAGATTCCAGCCAGAAAAATAAATCTCTTCTCATACATTTTCTGTGTTGTGACCGAGGTCCCCATTTATTCATGAGACACAAAACATAAGAGGCCACTCTACTGGATGTTAATTTCAGTATTTTTTTTATTGTATGCTTGATGCATTTAGAGACAATTCCAAGGGAAAGCACTGGATAGGGATATTATCTGCTTTGTAGATATTTGTACAAAAGACTGTTAAGACTACATGGTCAGTTCCCACTGCAGGAAACAATAATTTTCTCTCTTTTTTTTAAAAATTTTTCCCTGCCAATAGCATTCTCACAACATGATTACAATCATGTACATATTGGTTCCCACAAGAAATCTGCAGGTGACATTTCAGGATGTTTGGAGTCAATTAGATAAAGCACGTTATGACAGAAACCGTAAGAGAGGAGCTGGGACCTGGGACTGTGCAGAATGAAAAGCCTCGGCTATGGGAAGCATAAGCTTGTGCTGCGACAGCACGGCTCCCGTCCCCCTGCGGAGCATGGCCAGCGAGAGGAGCCCTCCCTTCCTCCTCCACGTGCTTCCTTCCTAAGGCTGAGAGCTCAATTGAAGGCCTTCCCCAATAAACGACAGATGGCTCTTCAGTCAGGAATGCAGTTAGTGGTTTCATGACAGACACACTGGTCCCACCCGGCTTCCCTGCTGAACCAGCCAGAGCTGTATAACATGTGTACCAATGTGGGATGACCCCAGTTAGGAAACAAAGTAATTTGCCTGGTTGGTACTTATTTTTTACACCGAATGATTCACCCAGTAGTAAAGGAACCCCACAGCTAAGATCTAATGAGCATATACCTGCTTTGTTAGTTTATAAGAAAGGCTTGTTCTAACAACACCAAGTCTTATGTTATTGGGCATTAAGGAATCTCCATAATTTTGATTATACCTTTATTCTACCTGAAGTTTCAAAGCACCTCCAAGAATGAAAGCGTACTGTTTTTGCTTTGCTCATGTACTCCTGCCAGAGCTTCTGCCCTTGAATATGAGGGGTATCTTCACCTATGGTAAATCCCATCTATTAGACAAGACTAACTAGCTTATGTTTGGTTATGGGGCAAGGGGGTAGGGGAGAGAGTCTATCCTTTCTGGCCACAGCTTCTTTCTACACAAGCATGCACAGCCCCCACCCCAGTCCTAAAAGATACACAAAGGGTCTCCTAGGAAGCTACTTATACACTGTGACCTTTAAACATGATTTTTGTACTTCATCTTGAATATTCATTTTCCCCATACTTCCTTCAGAAAAACAATCCCTGGTCAACAAATTATTCATGTAATAGGTATTTTTCCAAAGCAAAATCTGTTAGGAACATTTAAAAATGAAGAGTCCCCACTGTAACAATCTGCTCAAAACCCCACAACCTATTTCCAGCTGTTAATATAAGTACATAAAGTCGCTAAAAGTAAGCGCAGCCACATCAGCAGATTCTCTGCTCTCTTCTTGTCTTTCTCT